CATTTTAATAATTCATCAACCCTAACCTCGCAACTAGCGGTTTTTGCTTCATCGTTCACTGCGAGGTGAGTTCCTTGCTGTAAATGCGCCGTCTAAATGACAAATTTGTTCATCAGAAACTTAGGTTTGAAAAAAGAGTCAATATTTTTATTAATAAGAAAATGAAAAGATGTTAAGCTCTTAGACAAGAGGATTTGACGTATAGTTGGGCTCATTGAGCTGTGACCCACCGTCAAGTTATCATTTTTTCATGTTTGATTTTCACTTCCGCTGAGCCTATTTTATATTTTATGATGATCAGCTCTATTTTCCAACCTAACACATGATTATTTTGCTAGTTTTGTTTCTTTTATGCCGAGTTGATTACCAAGTAATTTGGCCACCTTATTTAGATTCAAAAGTTAGGATGACTCTGAGCACTAGCTATCCAACTGAGCGCTACCTTTGCCAGGTCCAGGTTTTTTTTTTCTTCTGTGGTTTCCATCAGTCTTTCACATCAAAAAATCCCTTTTCTGATAGAGGTCTTAATTTAAAAACATCTTAATAGGTTAATGACTTCTTTTTTTGTTATCCTAGTTTCCGAAATTGTGCCAGAGTACATGCCAAATATATGCATACTTCAATTTTTTGAAATTGAAAGAAATATATAAATCTATAAACTGCAAATAAAATTTTTCAGATGATTGATGGATATGATCCTGTCAACGATGCCGTCATAAACAACCAACCCAGCTGTTCAAGTAGTTTAAGGCTTACACGTATTACCGAAAAATATGATTAATCATTGTCAACATCTTCCATTAGGTTGCCTCAGAAGGATAAAATTTGCCTCGATGAATATATTGAGGTAGCTGTTATGCAAAAAAGTCAGTATAACTTACGCAAACGTGTTACTAGTACTTCTGATCTCGAAATTTTACGGGCACTGGATGAAAAAGGAATTTAAAGGCATTCATGAAACTTACCTGTTTCAGGACAATCACATTGGCTCTTTGCGCCGCCAACTTTTGCCAGCAAAAAGGCCAATGCAATTAGCAAGACGTAACGCATGCTTTTCAGAGCAGACGGGGCAAACAACTGAACTGTAGCTTAGAACTTTCTTACATAATGAATATCTCTACTGAAACCATCCTTCTAGTATATTCCATCTACCAGTGAAAACCTAGCACCAGTACTAAACGCGCGCATTAACACGTGTTGATCACGCCCAGTTAGCTTACTAAACGCGCGCAATGGGGACTCGCAGATTCGTCGAGATTCAAATCTCAAATTACCCTGGGTGGCAGAGGCTTTTTCTGCGCGGTTTCCGGTTTCGGTTAAGTTTTAACGAGACTCGCCAAAAGGCGTATTCACTGCGCTGCTTCTGCTAACAGTAGACAGAAATATTGTATTGTATGAAAACGAGAAGTTTACTAAAACAGACAGCCAACTGCCTATTGATCCCGATCTATGGGCCTGATGGATTACACTGAGACGGTCTACAGTTTACATGAAAACCGTTTTCATGTTATTAACGGATTATTTTTTCCACAAGATAATATATATTCAGTTTTAAGATTTTTGTCTTGGTATTTTTCTCTAACTTAAAAGAATAAAATCCTTTGGATTTTGTAACCTATGTTGCTTTCATGGGCACGCACTTTAAAGAATGTAAAAATAGATGAAACGATCGATAACATATTTTTTACCGCGATACTAAGGCCCGATTCAGAGGCCGAACTTTTCGTGAGCTGAATCTAATTCGAATTAACTGAGACCGACCAAATTATTTAGACCGCCTGTATTGATTTAGACACCGATCTTGATTGCAGCTGAACTAAGTTCAAAAGGCGAAAACTGCTCAATTCGGTAAAACTGTTTACAAAACGTTATAATAATTAGTTTTATGCATTAGGTTCGGTACATGAAAAGCTCGGCTGAATCAAAGCCGTTCCAAAGTCGCTCCGCGGAGGGCGAAATCCCGGTCGGGCTAGGCGAAAAGAACGGCTGAGCCGTTGCAAATTGAAACAGGCGTTCCTTATTGTTTCAGACGCCGAACTTTTCATGTACTTAATTCAATGTACTAGGTTTTAAGGGCCTAATTTGAGTTAAAAATTCGCTCGAGTTCGCGTTTGTCTGACCGTGACTTAAACTTTTCTTCATGGCAGAAAATTATAACTCCTCCGAAGGTTTAGGCCAGCAAAACAATATCGAAACACTATTTAGTCTATTTACAGTCCTTGAATAATAAAGAACACTGAACAAACGAAACGCACTATGTGCCTTTGTTTACTTCTCTGACTTCTGATCACATGCATGTGCACGAACTCTCTCTTTTCAAGAGATCCATCTCAATGCACAATAATTGACTCTTATATTAATTAAAACCCAATCGTTCATTCATATTTATACTGATTTTGCCCCTCACATTTACTGTGTTCGTTTGAATTCAAAACACCTTAAGGAAAATAAAGGTCGTGTAAGTCATGTTTATTATGTTTTAGAGCTAAAAATCGTCATAACAGGCTTTTTTAAGTTTCCATTGTGCGGTGTCTTAATCAGTTCACATCTCCATAAAATGGTAGAAGAAGCATGAAGAAGCATCACGCGAGCAGACAGTTTTCAATGGTTTTTTTGAAACTCGCTAATGCTGACATCAATATATCATGCTTGCTGAATGGGCGAAAACACAGAATTGAGGGAGGCCGAAAGTATAACAAATGATAACATGATCATATACAAATTTAATGATAAAAGCTTAGCAAGATACAGATACAAACAAAACCAGACCCCCTGAAACCTCTGGGCTACACTTGCATGCTTTAGTCAGTCACCAAACCTTGTCAGTGATAGCTCCTATTATCCTCAAGTTGATCTTTGTGAGGCTCCCGGATCGGATGTTCCGGTGAAGCTTTGAACTTGTGTGCGAAATTCTCAAAGTTCCTATTTTTGTCCGTGTCTTTTTTATCTTCAGTATCCGAAATTTAGACCTCCAAAGTGGCGTTTGTTGCATTAAATAGAAGGAAATAATAAAATAAAAGGCCAGTCTTCTGACATGGCAAAGTTGTCCCGTCCCTACGCTCATGGACGTCCATTTCTTAACACCAGGATTCATCACCGGCAACTGAATTGTTCGCTTCAGTACTGAAACAGCTTACAATCAAGTCTTCAGCCATAGTGATCAGCAACTGGTAAAATACTTTGCTCATAAATTATGCTTATTAATTGCTCATGTACTACACAGGTCGATAGTTCTCTCTTTGAGTTAACGAAACGGCCCCAGCGTTCCAAAACTGACGCTCACAGTCATCGTTTAGTGTGAACCAGGCCTACTCTGGGACCTAAAGTTGCCTAAAGTCGCCCAAAGTCGCCTTAAGTCGCCTAAAATCGCCTTAAGTCGCCTAAAATCGCCTTAAGTCGCTTAAAGTTGCCTTTAGTTTCCTTAAGTCACTAAATCATTCAAATCTTAACGAGGTTCAAATTGTCTTGTAGTTATTACTTTTTTAGTTTTCTATTTCCAGAATGCATGATTTCTTATAAAGTGTATAATAACCCGTGTTCAATAATATTAGCCACAGACCCACCCCACCCCCCATAAATAAACTCCCACGGTGACTTAAGACCCATTAATTTCTTCCCCAGCCCTCTAATTTATACATTTAATTACTTTACACAATTTACTACACGTAATAATTAGTCGTAAGCAATACAAGAATAATCATTCCTGTATTGTTTATGCAAAAATGACAACATATAGTA